TTCTTTGGAATTTTCTTGAGGCTCAATTTGGCCCGAATGCTTTCCCTCATAAAAATGAATCAACCAAACAGAAATGAGGTACAGCATAGCCATGTCATGAATTGTGGGGATCATAACCAAACATCCATTGCCAGCAATGAACATGCATTCTGATGAAATGGATGCCCAGGTTGTAGAAACAACCAGTTTGGAACCAGGAGTTGTAAAATGGAAGAATTGACTGTTAATGCCACCTTTCTAGGGCCCAGTAAATGGAATCCCCTCTCCTACCTTTTAAATGCTCAATATAAAAGGTGCTCATCTTGTTAAGACCTGCAGGTGAACTAAGGAAGACTTGGACAGCCAGTTTCAAGATCATTCTACAACAGTCACTATGTATTTTGTTCCAAAGATACATGCATATCACTTAAGTCTTTTTTGATTTGTGAATTTATTTAAAAATATTACAAAGGCATGGGAATTATATCAGATTTAGTAATAAAACATTTTAATAAACCATGTTTATGGAAAGGAATAAAATTTCATTGGATTGGATCTGCCCCCAGAGAATGCAGGATAAATGGTCCTGGCAGCGCCTACCCAGAGCAGAGCTAAGAGTATAGGTTGTGATATGTTGAGGGAAATGCAAAGATATTTCTTCTGACTTTTATTCAGATGCCCAGGGGTGATTTTCCTCCTGAGTTTTCTAAGTATTTGATGCTATGATTCCCTTCTCCTGGCTGTGGACAGCTCATGATAAATCTGAGTGTGTTCAGAAGTTGATGATAGGCTACTCATCACACATTTTAGCCTGTGGAGTACAAGTCTATTTGGTGTATGCAGAACAGCTTCAAATCAGTTCTTGGGAGATTGACAAACAGTAGTCTAAATCTCATGCCAATAAAAATCTAGGTTTTCCTTTTTTTGAGATTCAGCTGCAGCTTTGTAAGCTTGCATATGTCCTTTTTGTTGCATAGTCTAGAAGAGGAAAAGTAGCCAGTAAGGCCAGGTTAACTAAATACAGCATCCAGTCTGTGAGCTCAGTAACAAAACTACTGGACAAGATCCCATGGAAAAATTCCTTGGAGGTTTCTTCAAAGATGCTGTAGCTATTTTGTATGAAGTGGCCCCTCTGAAAACGTAGTTGAAGCTACTTATTTTCTAGAACTAAACCATTAAGCCAGGCATGGTGGAGCGTACCTGTCATCCCAGCTACTGGGTAGGCTGATATGGGAGCATGGCCTGAGTCCAGGAAGTCGCATTCCAGCCTGGGGAACAGAATGAGGCCCCAACTCAAAAAAACAAACAGAAAGCCAAGGCTAGCAAGGTGAACCAAAGAACTTACTTTCTAGCTTTCAAATAGATGAGGTGGATCAGACTGAAGTCTTTTTAAAAAGCATCTGTCTACCTTGCAATTTTGTCTTAAAAAATAAGTTTTCTATGAAAAAAATCACCTGAAAAAAATTTATGATCTCACATAATGCATGATCTACCTACCTCATCACTGGCAAGTATAATATCATCTCTATCACCTAGTGAATGGTCCTTATGAACTTACATGCTTTCTCTTGGAGAGAGCTCACTAGGACAGCTACCAAGCCTCAGACTGTACTTCCCACCCAACCCCCACTTTAGCTCTAGGTTGCATGATACAACAGGAATTTTCAGTCATTCTGAAGAAGGTAATCTTATTCTCATGTAGAGAGACCTTTTGTGATGGCTTGGAATAGTGAGACCTCCTCCCTCCCTTCCTAAAAAAAATGCACTTCTCCATTGTAGACTTTGAAGATTAATTTAGGGTTATTCTTTTATGCAAACATCTCTTAGCAGTGATTCTCCAACTGTAGTGTGTGTAAGAATCCTGAGATTCTGGTTTAGAAGGGAGGTACTAGGACCCCAGCAATCTGCATTTTACTGAGAACTCCAAATGATTTCAATGTAGGTGGTCCCTATGGTTAACACTTAGAGAAACTGGAGCTCAGATTCATTGGTTCAAATCCCAGCTCTGATTTTTTTTTTTTTAATCTTTGTTACTTCAGTTAGGTTGTTTAACCTTCTTATGCCTCAATTTCCTCATCTGTATAAAAAGTGTAATAATAATATCTCACAGGGTTGTCATGAGGTTAAATTGGTTAATCCAGATAAAGTACTTAGAATGCTACCTGGATTATTAATTGCTCAGTAAATGTTAGCTAGATAAATCCAACAAATTATAGATGTCTTGAAACAGAGTGTTTCAAATAGATTGACATCCTGTTAACATAGCGTTAAGATCAACTGAGGAATATATTGAGTTATGTTGGTGTGTTGGGTTGGGGGGCAAAATGTCCCTTCATGGAGTCCTGTGATGGATTGTCATTGCATGTGGGATAAAAACCAAACTCCTTAACCTGGTCTCTAGGAGCCTGCTGGTCTGGTCTCACAACAAACTCCTAATCATTCTTGTCTCACATCATCCTGATCATTCCCACTGTGATCAGCCACATGTAGCTTCTTTCAAGTTTTCAAAGATGCCACACCACCTCCTAGCACAATCCCTTTGCATGTGTTGTTCCTTATGCCCAATCTACTCTTTCTCTCACTGCCAATTCATTAACTTTTACTCTTCCTTCAGATCTTGACTCAAATATCACTTCCTCTGAGATGCTTTTCCTAATCTTGTTGTACCCGAATCCTGAATCCGAAAGACCACCAAAGAGCCAGCTCCGATGCAAATCACACGAGAATCTTTATTCAGGCTCGAGTCTGGGCTCACGTCCATAACTGGCGCAGCGGTACAGGAACGAGAGCCCCGACCCAGCACAGCAAGCAGCTTATATACACAGTTACAAGGGAGGGGAAAGAACTTTAAACTTGTTCGCACATGACTGGGCAATTTCTCCTACTGGGTACGGGGGCGTTTGGGATTGGTTGGTTTGTATGGTCGCAAATCGCGGCTGACCACGGCTGACCATCAATGGTCAGGCGGGCTGGGTGGAACCGGTTGGGACATCTGGAATGTGAGATTACTAGGGGAGTGGAGCAGGAAATGGGGCCAGAGGGTCTGCACCATGACTCCACGGTTTTCTTTTGGTATATGAACTTGTTTACCAAAAGTACACTACTGGGCTTGGGCGGGAAAGCAAGCATACATCTGAGTTTTAAAAACAAGTTTCAATATACATTCAAAATAAGCTTCAACCTACACTTAAAACAAGTTTTATCACACAATTATGAACTAGATGGCCCTTGAGCTCCTCAATCTCACTAAGTCTCTCTATTATTTGTGCTCATGTATATTTTAATAACTCGTATCACAGTTAGACTTTTATATTCTTGCCTTCTCTACTAGAGTTTATGGGCTATAAGGTAGAAACCATGTCAGTTTGTTGTGTCAATAGTATGATTGCCTGGCATATAGACACCCACGAAATATTTGTTGGAAGAAATTATTAAATTTTGTTTGATGGAAGACCTAGTTGGAATTATATGCCATGGAGATTTGAACAGTCTCAAGAGGCAAAGGGTAGGGTTGTCTCTGTGGCAGAGGACACTCGGCAGAATTGGTTAGAGGAAATGTTCCAGAAAGGTGGTAGAGAGAACCTGAGCTATCCACCACCCTGGAGGGTAGAGGTTGTCTGGGCAGAACTGAAAAAAAAAATGCCAATGTTGGAGGTGAGTACCTGGGTGGTTGAACCTGGGTAAGAATTTCTTTCCAAGCTCATATTAGCATAAGGACACAAAATGAAAAACCAGGATTCGGGTTTTTTTGACAGGGCAGATCCAATATCAAGACCAGTGGGCGGAGCTGAGCATTTGGAGAGGGAGGGATATGAGGTTTAAACTGAGCTCTGTTTAGGTACCAAGGAGCCTCAGGGCTATTGTTGCTTTTTGGACAGTGATTGTGTGGTTGACGGATAGTTCGCCTTGACTTCAAGAACCAGAGATACATTAAAGCATATCCCTGCCTCCTTTGAAGCCTGGTCTGGGTGGTCAACGTGCTGAGGGTTCCCAGGCTTGCAGAGACCTTTACGGAAAAGAAGGTCTCCTTGAGGTTATCATGATGCTAAGATGAATGACAGTAGGACAAAGACTAATCCTTTCTCTCTAACTTATGCCAAAATCATGTCATTCTTGGACATCATTCTCCATTAATCTCTGTAGAATTGAGGGTTTCTGCAGACCCCGGTGTGAGAAGGCTACCTACCATCTGATCCCACTTGCTGAGTCTGACCAGAACTTGCAGCTGTTCACTGCTCAGTGGCGGCCCCTGCTGCTAAGGAGAAGGATGACAGCACCTTCAGAGTTGGTGGCTTTAATTCTGGTCGTGCATGCAACCAGGAGAATTTGGAGAAAGCAGGGAGGGACTAGAGAGGATCAAAAACAGGCTGAGAAAATCCAGGAAGATCTCCAGTGTACGGGGTGCCTTGGTGAGATGCTAATGCAGAAAAGAGCTGGACCAAAGGACTGCATTTACAAAATCTTCCACAAACCTTCCATGTGATCACTTTATTCCAAAGCTTTGCTAGGTACCATGGCAGTGCACTCTGAGAAATACCACTGCAAACTTTTATTTGGGGGCTTTCAGATAACAAATACTTTTAAAGTGCCCCCTCTCCCTCATACTTTAGATTGGAAGTTACAGTAAATTTTAATTAAGGGTGGAGGCTGTTTATGTTTGTTTCTATCCTGAGTAGGGATGGAGTATGGATTCTCCCAGTGAGATTCCCTGCTGGGATGCAAGCTCTCTCGCTTGCCCGCAGTCCCGGGTATGTGAGCACCCCTGCTGTACACCCGTTGTGCGTACAACGTGAGGCGGTTACGTGACAATTCTGGTCAAAAACTGTATGTGAAGAGAAGGTGGGAGAAAGCAAAGTCACAATCACATAAAAGTAGAGAGAGGGGGAGAGATGAGATTGCAGTTGATTATGGGTCTGGCGGCAGATGTTCCACACGAATCCAAGTCGCTGCAGCCAGTCTGTTTCTATGGCAACGGAATCAGTAATTATTGAGCCCAGGCAGTCCCCCCTCCCCTTCTCCCAACAAGGTAGAGGCTGATGAATATGAACTCTCTCCAGCCCATCACCAGCTTCTTCTTCATCTTCTTTTTTTTCTTTTCTTTTAGCTCTTTGTAAGAAAAAGCTGAGGGTATTGAAAAGTAGCAAGAAGAGGAACTGTATGTTTATTGACAAGAGAGCACAGAATACTAAAATAGAAATGAAGTGATTGTTTTTCTCTTGTGATACTATACGAGAAAAGCTCTTCCTAGAAAAGCCGATGATCTCTGAAGATGCTAAATAAATGAGCAGGAGTTTCCCTGAAATGGAGGCTCCCTTTGATTGGCTGATCTTCCCGCGACTCCTGCCAATCGGAGCACCCCTGGGTTTCAGCTCCATAAACATAAGCAAAGCTACATGCTTATTCTTCTGGATTTGGAGTGTATACCATTCAAAGGTGTGCGGCGGGTCTCTGTTCACATGGCTCAACTGGAAACCTGTTTCGTGAGCAAGCTAACTCGGGGACCATCTGGTATTCCAGCACATTGTTCTTCTGGGGGGCAACTCTAAGTCGATTTGTGGTGGCAGCAGCTTAGAAGCGGTATTTGTAGTTGGAAAAGATGGACTTACGGGAGCTTGGTGAGTAAACCTCAGTCTTACACATCTGTCCACTGGTATTAGCAGCTTGAGCTAAATGTAGCTTTGTCCTATTGTCTGCAGAGAAAACTGAATTGGAACAAGTACATGGAAGAGCTGGCATGCAAGGGTTCCCATAATATGGGAGACTGAATTCGAAAGGCGGCGTGCTTTGCTTGGGTTGGATCGGATTTGTAGTTGACTGTACATTAGACTTGAACGTTGGTTGTCTAGTTAGGATTAGTGTAAGGAGCTGGGTTCTGCTTTAACTCCCTAGGTATCGCTTCATTTCAAAAGAAATGCTTTTAAAACGAAATTAATAAAAGTCAACCCTGTGTATTGCTAAGAAGAGAGAGGAAGGTACAGGCATGGAACCGGAGCTGTTTGATTGTACTGCTGGTGTTTGCATTGTGAAGAGAGATGTCATTACAATGGTCTGTCAAACACTTCTTCAGACCCCCAGCCACAGAGAAGCATCTTTTCTCCATTTGCCACTGTTCTCTGCTGGGAAATGTGTAACTGAGCTAGGTCGTGCCCCTCCCTTCTTTTCTGAAACCTGTCTCCAAATTGAAATATGTTTTTTAGTTAATTGGCAAGATGAATTGAAGTGCAGTGAGAAAGATTTTAGCAGTGAAAAAGCATGCTTCCAAATGCCTCTATTTTGCATCCTTTCAAACCTCTGAAAACCAGAGAGGGTTTGCAAAGTTATATTCAAGGATTGGCTCGTTGCCAGGAAAGGGATGCTCTGAACTATTGCTCTGTTCCCTGGGGTTTAATTTTCTGACACTGGTGATGAAATTTTCAATTTCGTTGGGTAGAAAAAGGAAGAACAAGAAAGCAGTACTGTAAACAGGCAATGGAGGGGCAGCGTGAGGAAGGAGAAACTCTTTGCCTTTAGGGACCCTTCTAGCTGCAAACTTAAAAATGTATGTTGCAAGACAGAACCCAAGCACAGGGCAGGATTCCAGAGGAACCCATAATCCTTTCCAACGTGGAGAAGAAAGATATTGCCTTCAGCTTGGGTACAGAGAGTGGTAGCTGAACTTGGTGCTTCTATCCTTGCCTAAGATCCTTTCCCCTGTCTCTGTCTGCTGATTTTGAAGATTCATCACATTTGCTTTTGTAAAAATGCGATTTCCTATCTTATGTGCCAGAAAGTGTCATAACACTCTTGATGTCTTCTATTTACAGTCTACTTGGGTTCAGATAATGGAGAGAGGAAAAGAGAATAAAGCATTATCATCCGGTTTATGAAGAAATGCACATGAAATAGTCATACAGGGAAAATCTTATTGACTTATCCTTTTCAAAAAGAAATGTTCTTTTGACAGAGGGGAATGTGATATGTCTTCATGTGACTCTAGAATGGAATTTGCTGTGTCCTTAAATGGGAGCTGTGATGAGCAGTTAAAGAAACAAAAGAGCTGGGAAGGTTTCTCCTGTAGAAGACTCCAGGTGGGGTGGGGTGACTGGGTATGTGGGAGAGACCCTCCACTCTGAGTTCATTAGAGACATGGGACTGACGCTGCAGGAGGAGAGGGAGAGTTTCCCAACTGTGGGTGACAGTGCATGGAGAAACCTGGTCCCTTGACCGTGTCAGTGCCTGTTTGTTAGCTGAAGGCTTTTCTAGAGGGACTGGCTGGCCTCTGATCCCACGAGGCTCCGGGTGGTTGGATACACAGAAAATTCCTCCTGATTGGAGACACCCACATGCATGTCAGCTCTCCCCACTGCACCTCTCTCCCTAGTACACCCAGATACCCAATTTTGAGGAAGTCTGGTTTCTAGTGAATGTGCATGAAGTGACAGTCATCTCACTATAGTGACTGTCCATCCTTTTTTGGCCCCGTCTCTCCCCCAGTAGTGTCACTTTTACACGAGCAAAGTGCTGGCACCTGTTGGCAAGAATGAGAGAAGAAACCAGCCTTTTATGGAAACAGTAAAAATGCTTTTTTTAAAAAAAATCTAAAACAGTAGTTCTTAGTCTATTTTTGGACCATAGAACTCTTTAAGAATGTGAAAGCTATGAACCTCCTCCCTGCCTCCCAAGAAAATACATTCACACACGGTCCCCTAACTCTTTGATGAGAAGCCTTTTTGGGGTAAAGTCAGATTCCTGTCCTGAGGGAGTAGCCAAGAATTTATTACACCCTGAAGTTCATCATCTCCTTCTTTTCAAAGGGGTTCACTAAATGCTACTGCAGCCTTATCTTCGTCTGTCTTGAACATTTACTGTGTGCCAGGCACAGTGTGATGCAGTTCATATATAGATGTAATCACTCACTGAATCTTCCAGCAACCCTTACAGGACTGTTTTTATGCCTATTTTATAGATGAGGAAATCGAGTTCCCAAAATATTAAGAACCTTGCCCGTGTATATCAAGCTAGGAACCTGCAAGTGCTTGGTGTTTTATGGATGTTGATATACTTGTCGTTGCATCTGTATGTGGAAGGCAAGTGAGTGGATAGGAAAGAAGAATCCTGTCAGTCTGTCTAGTGGAGTCAGGTCACCAGTCATTGAATTAAGTAGACATCACAATAATTAAAGTAGAGTTGAAAAGGCATTTGGGTATGTGGGTGAATTATTAATAATGTCATTTAGGAAAAGAAGTTTGAGCTAACTCGAAGCCCATCACAAAAATGCCCCACTGGCTGCCACCTTATGTTACTGTGTGAGGCACCACCCCATTCCTGCAGCACTTGCTTAACTGGTATGAATTGGGTCAACTTTCAGACGAGACCAGCTCCTCCCAGGTCATCTGAGAGAGGTGGCAGGTCACCAGTGTCCCATGACTGCCCTTTTCTTGCAGTGGCCAAAGCCATGGCATGGGTCGAAAAGACCCAGGAACAACAGGGCAGCAGGTTGGGGGTTGGAGGGTGCGTGTGCTTTCTGAAGACCTTGTGAGCAGGAGAAGCGGACCTACCTCAGAAACAAAAACTGCGTTCCTCAGAATTTTAGGGGGAATTGATGGCTGTCAGGGTAACGTGGAGCTGGATGTGCGTGTGAATCCTCCACTCCCACTTCAACCAAAGCATCTCTACTTCCACCTGCTTTATAATTGCATTCACAGTGAAGATGTGTAGTTAAAAATGAGAAAGAAGAGGTTAGGCAGCTAGAAAGAAACACTGTTGATCTTATTGATATTTTCTACTTATTTATACTGCTGAGTAGGCATGGAATCTTTAGCAGTCTTAGAAGGTTTTAAAATCATGGGTTCTTTGCTACGCTTGCCTAATATTGTGCACTTTCTGGCATTATACCAGGTAGGTATGTATATGTGTAGAAGACAATTCTAATTCTAATAACTAGACCAAAAAAATGTACTACAGGGTCAATACAGTAGATCTTTTTTTAGAGTAATACTGTCTGGCTGGGCTCGGTGGCTCAGCCTGTAATCCCAGCACTTTGGGAGGCCGAGGTGAGTGGATTGCCTGAGCCCGCGGGCTCAAGACCTGCCTGGGCAACTTGACGAGAGCTCATCTCTACAATAAATCAAAAATTAGCCAGGCGTGGTAGTGCACACCTGTAGTTCCAGCTACTTGGAAGGCTGAGGCGGAAGGATCGCTGGAGCCCAGCAGGTCGAGACTGCGGTGGCCAGGAACGGCCGCTGCACTCCAGTCTGGGTGACAGAGTGAGACTCCAACTCAGAAACAAAACAAAACAAAACACTGTCCTTTGGAAATATAATGCAAGTTATGTATGTAATTTTAATTTTTCTAGTAGTCACCTGAAGAAAGTAAAAAGAAACAGGTCAGTTAATTGTAACAATATATAGTATTTAACCCACAATGTCCCAAATATGATCATTTCAACAGATAACTACAAAATTATTAAGAATATATTACATTGATTTTTTTTATTTTAAGTCTTTGAAACCTGACATGTGTTTTACACTTACAACACAACTCCATTTGGATACTAGATTTTCGCAGGAAATCTGTATTTAGATCTCATAAAATTCATAGTTAAGAAAGATTCATCTGCGCAAGTTATTCCAAACATACATCAAAGTTTTCCAGTAACTGAATTGAGTATTGATTTTAAATTTAAATTAGTTAAAATCAAATACATTTAAAATTTGGTTGCCCAATCATACTCGCCACATGCTTTAAGGCTTCCCTGGTCAGATGTTAAGTGGCTTCTCTGTTGGACAATGCGAGGCTGGACTCTCAGAACTCTCTTTTCCCACTAGGACAGTTACTCCTCTCACTCCATCATCACGCCCTGGCACCTTTATCTCTTTTACTGTCACAAGGTAAGACTTGCTCTAGTCGCTGAGAGAAGCAGAATATTAGTATTCAAGATCGTGTTAATCTCTGCTTTTATCATTACTCATAGCAAACTCAACATGGATAGCTAAATCTTGGTTTTTCCATTACACTGTTTGGCAAGGGAGAATTAAAAGGTGTGCTATTTCCTGTTACAGAAAGACAACATTCATCCATCTGTGGCATTTTTTGGTCCCTAAATATCTTGACCCTGCCACTTATTGTGCTTTGGGGCCACCTCCCTTAACTCAGTATTGAACACGTGTTTAATTTTAACAATAAACAAATCATGACTGAGAAGTTAACTCTGTTGCAAACTGGTAATTCTTCATGAAGACAAGTATAGATTAAAGCTAGGATGTGACTTAATTGCTGCCATCTTATTCAATTCTGCAAATTTTGTTTAGCTAGAAAATATTGACTAAATAATTCTTTCAGTTAATTTGCTCTTAAAATTCTTATCTTCAGTTCCAGATATTATCTTATTTATCCACCCCTCAAAAGATTTATTTTAATGTAAAGTGAGCCATGAAAAAGTAATCAATCTTTTCAATAGCTGGATCGAACATGCTGCAAAGCCCTCTTAGAAGCACCTAGTCAGCCTCCTAAAAATGTCCTAACTTGACAATTTCAGTCAATCAGCTTTAGCAAATGGTCAGGCTAAAGCTCACTCTATGCTCAGTCCTCTTCAGCTTTCCTTTTATAAAGAGCTCTATTAGAAATGCCACAAAAC